CTGTACCCCTTAACCCTGTGAGTCATTTGGATACAAATCAGCGTGAGCGTGGCTATCCATCCAATTTTCAGTCTAGCAAATCCACGACATTTAAAAAACCGCTCTCGATCATTATATAGGTACTAATACGCATTGATTTTCTTTCGTGAGGCAGCAAGGAGGGGCGTGGTTTCCCACAGAGTCGGGAAGGATTACCGGACACCACTGTGCAGCGCGTTTCAAAACAAGGAAGTGGGAAAAGAGCCGAAGCCGAGGCTTTTTTCTGCGCCGAAAGCGAAAAACATGGGGGGGGGGATTCCAGAATGGATCTAGGGTCCCTTAGCAAGATGATAGACCGTGGGAACGTCACGCTCCCAACAAGGCATAATTCAGAACTAGTGAACCCAAGTGGCACAATGACATGTCGTCGTAGGAGAAGGAGTGGGCGTGGCTTCCACCGATCGAGCAGTGTGCCATGAGATTCTCATTGTCATATGTGTACTAACCTGTGCGAACACGCAACTGAGATTGTCATCGATGGCTTTTGTGGGATCCGGCTGATCGCAGATTCCTTCGCCAGCACGGATCAAACAGGAAGACACAACACATGGCGTCCGTCCAGTGAACAGGAACGATGCACATTGCCGGAATTCATCTAAAGATCATCATTTCATCTTTTATTCATTGACGGCTCGCTGCTGGCCATTAGTTATGAAGTTCTCGTCCACAGAAACTCCTCGCTCCCATTTACCTCTTAATTGATTGGTTTGGAACTAGGAACAGCAAGGAAAGAAAGTGATCGGATTATGTTCAGAAGACTTCATAAAGTGTTCATGGTAAGCGTTTGGTTAGAATCTGAGAAATGAAAAGTGTGCGCGAAAAGCCTGATGTGTTCCGACTAGGAAATCACATTGAATACAAAATACTATATTGAACGACATAAAATCCGACAAGGATTCCGTCGCGCGGCGAGAAGGCAGAGACGCAGACACAACGGACGAGTCGCAGCGCGTATTGTGCGATGTGGAACGTACTATAGTACATTCTATTTAACTTGACGCGAAATCGCTACAGTACGCGCTGCGACTCGTCCGCTGACCCGTCTGCGTCTCTGCCTTCTCGCCGCGCGACGTGCCTCCAGCTGGGCGCCCAATCGATATGCGTGTAAGTTTTTCTCGAATTTTCTGTTTCTATGGATGAGCGGTTCTCCTAGCCAGTACGGTCGTTTTCTTTTCCGTCTGATGATTTTCTCGTAGTAGTGATAGGGAACACCGCCTCAACATGCATTGACGAATAAATACTACGACAATCTTCATTCACTCGCAAGACGCGGTGCAAAATGGGACGCTCTTTGGAAGTACAACTACATTGTTCGCATTATAATAGCATCTCCTGAAAAGAGGTTTTGGCCCCGCCCACAGGAAGATTTTAGCCATTTTCTTTTATGTCGAAGCGTACACGGAAGGTGCATATGTGCCCGGTGAAGGCATCAAAGTTCTATGGAAAAAACCTCAAACTGGGTAACGAGGAGAGGGCATAGACGAGAGAAAATGGTGGCCAACAAGACGCAGACATCCTGCCGCGTAGATCTTTGCACTGCGCTGTCGCCGCACTATGGAGCGGCGACAACTGCGCGTACGCTGCGTCGCACTTCTATTCTATTCGTGGAATATTAATCCAGGTAACCTGATCGTGAGATGATGCTTTCAACAGCAAAAATCTAACCCTTGTGTGACTAACCTGTAAGATTACAGCCGCCTGCAAAGACCGGTGCCAAGCTGTTCACGTTCTTGATCATCGCCTGTAGGCCACCTTGGAAGAGCTCTTCAAGCCGGCTTCCGATGTCATTCAGCTGGAGCAGCACAATGATCGATAATCGCGCCTCCTCAGCCGAACATCCGACGCCGATCACCTTTGCCGACTGAAAAAAGAGCAGGTGTAAAGAGGGCACCGTTAAAAAAAAGAAAATTATTTGGAGCTTGTTGCTCCATTGGCACTGGCTAGCGCAAATTTACAGCGAGGATGCAATGGCAGTTGCGAATTTGTAACGTTTCAGAACGCTCAGTCTGAGGTTTCTTCTCGCGCACATACCGCGTTGAAATTGAAGTCAATTGGAAAGAATGTTGTGACAAACATCGCTCATGACATACACCACACATTAGATCGGGTCTATATCTTATTTTCTACAAGCTACCCGAAAGTAAATGTACGAGGGACACAAGCTAGCACTTGGCAGTATGCTCAAAACAGTCGTTCGATGACATACATCAGAGCCGAAATATGTGAAACCAACAATCTAACCTGGATGGGGGAATAGCGCAGGGTTAGAATGCGTGCGCGGAGCCAAAGCAAAGGCTGATTGGAGGCTCCTCGTGAGAATGTGTTACGCCCACGGTCTTTACAGTAATATACTAAACAAACACCTCGCGACAATATGTCGGACCCTAAAGCACAGTTCAACCAGATAAAATCTATACCACTTGTTTTTTCGGTTAGGTTCTGTTGCTGAAATGAGTCAGAAATATCAGTGAGTTTCACTGATAAGTGTCCCGATCAAACCGACAAACATTGCGGTGACATACACAATCACAATATGTATAATCTATTGCACAAACCCCTTTTCGCCGGAAGCGTCAGCTGTCTATTTACACTCCCGCCCAAAGCACCTGAATAACTCAAACACCACCTAAAATCCGGATGTGTCGCTGTTAATAGCGGACTAAGTGGGTAGTGAACCGAAACCGGCGCTCGACCCACTTTCACGGGTACTGTTTGACCAGTAGTTCGCGCCTAATTAGTTCCGAAAAAGGTAACTGTAAAGTAGCAGTTTTCAGTGGAATTTACTGCTGAGCTTGTTCATTACTGGCAATGAGCGTTGGAGAAATCATTAGGAAGGCCCTAACACCCACAAATGTATACAAAATAGCCCTGAATAGATATTTACAGCTCTGCTTACAGAGATATGGAAAACTTACTTATTGGGAGACAATAGAAACATTATCTACAGGGAATGAGAAAATGAGGATTTAGAAGCCCTAAGACCAGTCCCCCGGTCTGCCCCTAGGGGACACCCTATCCAACCCCCAGTGGGCGCTTTCAGACTAGAGCGAGCCAGTTGTTGAAGAAATCTAGCTAGCAATCAAAAAAAACCCTAGCCCCATCCGCGTCTAGGAATCATCAGCGCTGGCTCACCGTGATCCTAACTCCTTCCTTGTAATTTGGCATCCCTACTTGGTCTTTCTGAGCGCGACATATTCCCAGAATGCTCGCCCACCACGGAAAAATCAAGAAATCGATAATTGAAATCCCGAAATCCACTGAAGACAGTCAAAATAAAAAGAGCAGAATCTTGGTAGGATCAGAAAAACGTAGGCACCGTACCTTTTTGTAACCTTCACTGCCTTCCCCACAAGCGTAGGAAAACATAGCTGTCATGCCTTTTGCCCATAGTGGATGGCAAGTGACGTCAGCGACGCAGGTCTGAAAATGACGATGAAATCGATACAGCGATCAATAATCGTTAAGAAGATGTTTTATCGGCTTTTTATCGCATTCTTTAACACAAGTTTGATTCTTTGAACTTGTTAGTCAATAAAGAGATAGTGC